AGATGCCTAATTTTTATTTTTGGACCTGCGGAGTTTGATTTTTGCGCCAGGGGTCGGAGAAAACAGCGTCGCGGCTTGCCCGATTGGGTGGCCGCTCAGGCTATTGGCAGGTAGCCGGCCACAGAAAAGAAGGCGGGTACGCAAAGCCTACCCAGCTATAGGTGGGTGGACAGACAAAGTCTGCCTAGCCATGGGTAGGCGGGCGGGCTTTGTCATAGGTGGGCAGCCTACTGGGGAAGAGTTCTTGATATAGAGGGGTTGCTCCTACTATACCAAGAGCAGGAGCTAGCTCAGTAGGTTACAATATCAGATTGTCACCCCAGGGATCCGGGGATCGAAATCCAACGTGGCCTACTGGGCGTAGCTCCTTTTGCTGGAGCAACTATAAAGCTAAAGGCAGTGTGGCGCAATCGAATTCGACCACAAGATCGACGAAATCTCACGACCGAGATCGACCGCGCCAGTAGTGGCATGGTCTCTGCGCAAGGATGACACGCAGAAGTGGTCCAGACTAAGATCGTCGATCCTTTGAGGGATCGAACTCGGGTTTGTATTTCAACAGTTCGTGGATGTATACAACTGTAGCCGTTAGCGTAAGCCAACGTTTTTATATAAAAAAAAAAAAATAAATCTAATTAAACGATTCGTCAGATAACGCTCATAGAACAGACAAGGGACTTAGTGTCCCCATAAAATGCAGCCGACGCCCGTTGAAAACGGGCAGCCGTTTTTAGGTAGGTCGTTTTTTTTTTTTTTTTTTTTTTTTTTTTTTTAAATTTTTTTTTTTAGTTTAAATGTTTAGATTCTCTTTTTAGACTTCCTATTCCTCCTCCTAGCTGAAAACGCCCTAACGGGCAAAGTTTCTGAACGCTGTGCCCCCCCATCGATGGAAGAGCAAAATCGAATGAATCTTCTGCAAAAATGGGGGAATATGTATTTCCCCTCTATAATGGTCATACCACTGTAACTGCTGGATCCGTTGGAACTTGCTGATGAACTGTGCTAGCCTGTTTCGTCGGGCTTTCATCGACTCATTAAGTGGTTGAGACCATGACTACCGACACACGTGTGAATGAAGGATGAGCAAAATTGAATGAATCTACCGCTAGAACGTGGAAGTATGCACGACCACTATTGTTTGGACTGCCTAGTTCGTCTGCATCTGGGGGTAAAACCAACGAGGTAAGTTGGTTTTCATTTTGTTTTGTTTTTCTTTCTTTTCTTTTCTCTTTCTCCATTTTGTGGCTGCTGAAGCGCAGACTATGACAGAACGACGAAACGAACTGTAACGAGTAGCCACTTGTAAAAAAAAAAAAAAAAAAAAAAAAAAAAAAAAAAAAAAAAAAAAAAAAAAAAAAAAAAAAAAAAAAAAAAAAAAAAAAAAAAAAAAAAAAANAAAAAAAAAAAAAAAAAAAAAAAAAAAAAAAAAAAAAAAAAAAAAAAAAAAAAAAAAAAAAAAAAAAAAAAAAAAAAAAAAAAAAAAAAAACGAGGCAACTGTCTCGTGGATACTTGACACAACCTTACCAGGTTGTGTGAGAGCATGTCCATCTTCCCACTCAGAAAACGCATGAATATTCGTGGCCGCGAGATCTATGAGGGAAACTGGTGAGGGAAAGGAGAAGAGAAATGGGAGGCTGGGGAGAGGAGAACCTACCTATCCCAACTGACAACTACCCTCCCCGTTTTCATGGGAAGGGCAAAGGAAAATGAGGTAGGGTTATTGCATGCAACAATGTGCACCTAGCTGATGTAAGGGCCAGATGCAATGTAGTTAGATTTAGTTTTTTTTTTTTTTTTTTTTTTTTTTTGCAATTCTTTTTATTTTTGTGAGGACACTTATCCTCACGAGGTGCTACCTCCGGCACAAACTGCCAGAGGTAACTGTCAGGCACCCGTTTTTAGAAGGAGCCTGAAAACTAAGGGGTCATAGAGGAAAAGGCTAAGTACAGCCTTTTCCGCGATGTATCTACTCCGGGAAAAATGTCCAGATACACCAAACTGAAAGGGGTTGTATCTCTCCAACCCCTTATCAAAAAAATTGAAGAAACGTAGTTTTGGAAATGTGAGGACCTCAACTAACTTGTGAAATTCCGAGATAGATGAGGAAAGGGAAAAAAAAAAGAAAATGATGGCAGTTAAAAAAACTACCCTCACTAAGGCTGTGGTTGTGAAGCGGCCGCAGTTAGCCCTGGATCTTGGCCAGATCAATGGCTCACTGTGAGCCCGCGATTTTGCCTGGGGGTTGGAGTGACGTCCAACCCTCCTCGACCACTATAAAACAGGCAGTTGTCCCAACTGCCACACAGAAAGCACTCGTGCTGCCAGTGTGTGGCAAGCACACTTGAGTGCTGCTAGGGTGCTGGAGGAGCTGCCAGAGGCAATGTGGGAGGAGGTTGGAGGTCTACAGTGGAGTGCGAGAGAAGGAGCAGGGCAGCCATAGCCGCGGTAGGGAACACTCTGCTCGAATTCCCTCTAGTTGGTGCTGGTCTGGTGGAGCGATACTTGGGACTATGAGGGACCAAGGTGGCACGACAGACGTATACTTTGAGCCTGGATTTTATCCAGGGCCCATATGTTATTAATTTGAAGGACGGTTTTGTGCGGCAACGACGGATGTCAGGCCCATGCTAGTGGAAGTACAACTGGACTGGACTACGACAGGTATCGGCGGGCTGATCTTTGGCAGAGAATTTTCCCACTTTTGTGGGGAAATGCTGCCGAAATGTTTCGTCGTCAATGACAACCACTTTTGCAGCGTTATGCTGCTGAAATTGAGGTTTGTCAGGAAGGCACTAAGTGGAGGGAGAGTGCTGGATATTTTTGGTGCGACGACGGGCTCGCCGTCAACGTCGGTGAAGGGGGAAGATTGTTGAGTGACTATTGAGGCGGTATGGCAGGCTACACTAGAGGTATTGGCGATAGTCTGTCAGTTGGACCAGGTTTGTCAAGGCGGAGTGGCACGCTGTTTTTTTTATTGTGTATGCACGCCAACGGTAGCGGGTGTTGTCATCAGGAGCTGCAAGAAAGAGCGTATGACCATCTGGGACCACCTGGAACCAGTTGACACTGACGTGGGACCAGCGAACTTTATTTTTTGGGGGACGTGTGTGACTCATCATTTTCACACTTGGGGCTACTGATTGTGGGATTTGCGAGTTGGGAACGGATTGGGACTAGCAGTTGATCTGAAACTTGCCTCGGGACTGCGGTTTTCTTCAACGATGAGTATATTTCTACTTGGCTTTCTTTACTGAGCCATAGCGTGTTCCACACCACTTCACTCAAGGTCATTCAGTTGAATGACTCAATTTGTTTTTCACACCTGTATGAACCCACACTTTGTTTGACCCTGTTTGTTTTGAACGTTAAGAAGAAAATGTGGATTAAAGCGTGCGTGGTCATGCATGTGAAAAATGGGATCTGACGGGAGTATGAGTTGCTGAATTTTCTGGACCTGTTTATTGTTTTTGTGTGTGCAGGTAGGTAGAAAGATGCTTAGAAAGGAGCTTGATTATGCCTAATTGAGAAAAAAGAAAAATGATTGTCTTCCTTTTACTTATCACCTGCCTGCATGCCAAAAATGATTCGTTTTTTTGAAAAACGTTAATTCTGTGTGTACCGTAAAATAAATTTGATTGAAATATGGCAGATAAGGTCAGAGGGACTTAGCTTCTCCCAAGGATTGACCCTTGACCCTTTCGGCCCCGAATCACTTTATCTACCTATACTTGTCGAAATGATTCTCATTCTCTATCACCTCTGACTCTTTTCATCTAAATTACCTTAGGCATGAGAGGATGAAAATAACTAAAAAATACTTGCGGTGAACACGTTCTCTCAATCAAGGAAGCATCTGGGACGGGGGTCCGTTGCTTTAGGAGCCGACCCTGTTATCGACCTAGAGTGAATCGTTTCTACGGGGGGGTACTTTGCCGATTCGGTGGAGACGGCCCGACTTTTAAGATCTGAGTCTTGTGCTCGGGCGAGGACGAGGAGTACCCCAGACCACTTCCTAGAGGGAAAGACATGCAACACTTCAAGCAATGCACCTGATCTAGAATCATCCGCAAAGCAGCTTGTCATCCAAAAAGATTAGAAACGTATGGAGACGATTTTGTGCATGTCTAATCTTAGGTCGATGGTAGGATGAAATTAATGACTTTGGCAGTCCGTCTCATCAAGTTAAAGCTAAGGCAGACCGACTACCTTGTCGGTTGCATTGAGGTTATTGTCAGAAGTCAACTCCTCGTTGGCGGCTGTATGATTTTTTTGGAGTTCGACCAAGAGTGGTCGGATTTTTTTTTGATCTTGTGTTATTAGATGTATCTCATGATGATTTTGATTCTTTCGTTTATCATTTCAAATGGGATATACATTCCTATTGCCTAAAGGATGATTCCTTTTGATATAACTATGGGTGATTGTTATAATTTTTTTATTGGCTGGTGTGTAAAGGGACTAGGATACTGTGGGTTTCACGCTTGGTTGGGACCGTCCTAGTCGACTGACGTATGCTTCGTTCTTAGGAGATTATCGCACTAATGGACGAACGACGTTCATGTATCTATACTACAATGAACGAGCAAACATCCTCGAATGACTTATCTCTGCGATTGCATGTAAAAACTTCCTTATGTGGCTCAGTATCTAAGTGGGGATACACCCCTAAGGGCGGTGACAGCCCATTTGAGAAGCAAGTCGTGTTCCGTGGGATCCTATCTTGTCGTAGGGGACCGCGGGATGTACAAATGACGCACCCGGTTAGAGCGGCGAAGGTACGACGCAACCTCGGTAGTCTCGGCGGTTCGTGAGACTAGGTGTGGGTCTGCCGTGGCCGCTGCTCTTCGATGTCTCTCTGTGCGCACAACTGTCTCGATGGGCTCAGTCTCCGTGTCCGCCCTCTCGGCCTGTGCCTCCGTCTCCGACCTCCTCTCACGCTCTCGAATCAGCTCCACCAACCGCTGCTCCTCAACGACAATCTGCGCCTCAAGATCAATGATCGAGCCATGACGTCTCGACCCCTGTGGCATATGCAAGTCATCCTCGCCCGATGTGTACGACAGTCCCTGTCGTCTGTCTTTCATGGCTGATCGGGCCGGATGCGGCACCACCCTCTCGGTCCTTCTCGTCCCAACTCTATCCAATCTGAGTATACGTCCTGCTGTGTGGACACTCGATCGTCCAGCCTCACTCGCACGCGCTGCAGGCCCTCCCTCCCCCGATGGTCCTCGAGCGAACAACCCCTGTCCTCTATCGTAGTCCCTCCTCAAACTGTTCGTCACTCGCCTTCAAGACGACCACCCCCCAAAAACGCCACCTCGATGACTTGAAGAAGATCCCCGCTCGTTGCCTCGACCACCAGTCGGTGGACGACCTGTGGCCAACGCTGGTCCCTGATGCAATGCTCGAGATAAAGGGTGTCGTGGTGGCTGCACATGGCTGCTGGCAACCCCGCTTGAAAACATTGCCGCCTGTCTGTCCAAGGCATCTCGCTCGCGGATGTCGGACTGCGATGATCCAGTCCACCTAGGGCTCACTGGTGCCCACGCGGGAGGCGAGGGCTGTCCACCGGTGAACGGGAAAGGGTCCTCCGTTCCCAACCTCTCCAGTAAAGGGGTCGGTGTGCACTTCCCCGGTTCCCCGCCATCCCACCGAGGCATCTCCCCGGAGTACCCACCTACAAAGAAAGAGACCGGGCGGCCCGAGTCAACATGCCCCCCAGTCTCGACATCTCGCATCGACGGGGTCCTTACAATCACCGCGAGGGACATGTCGACGGCCGCTCCCTCCTCCTCAACATGCCCTCCAGTCCCTCCATCTCGCACCGATGGGGCATTGTGGCCTGCGTGGATCGCTGCTCCCTCCTCAACATGTGCTGTGTCATCATCCAAGGGCACACTGCCCTCGTCCACCAACTCCTCCTCAACATGTGTTGCGTCATGAGCTAAAGGCACACTGCCCTCGTCCACCATCTCCTCCTCCCCTCCATGAATCCCGCCATCTGTGCCACCCGTGCATATGCCAACTATAACGTCGTGTACAATAGCCTCTGTGGCCTCACACTCCTCGCTGTCGTCAGAGCTCTCAACTCGTGAGTCTGCCCCGACTATCTCAAGACCCCTTACATCACCACCCTCGCATCGCACCTCTGCCTGCCCCCCGCCACCAACGTCCAATCTGCATGTGTCATCACCAGGACCCTCAACATGGGAGGGGGGCTGCATCGTGTCTGAAGTCGGCACGGGTCCGACGCTCGATGGTGAACCCGCCCCACCTTGCGCTCCAGTAGTCTCTAACTCCCTTCGTCGCCGCTGCTCGGCCACTTACTCCTCCCTGCCATCCCACCGAGGCATAGACTGTAACTGTGCCTCCTCCTCGCGATCAAGGCGAGCGTCCCTCTCCTCAACCGTCTCCTCCCTCTCCCTGACATCCGTCCTGTACTCAGCTCTGTCACCCACTCTGCATTGTAAGACAGGCGAGTCCCCATGCGAACCCGCGATATCGAGATTGCTGGTACGCAGGTCCGATGTCGTGGCCTGAGCGGGACCACTTTGTGACGGAGTCCCCTCCACAACCGGTATGTCATGAGGCTGCTTAGACGCCGGACCGCTATGCTCTACCACCCTCTGCGATCGCCGAAGCTGCTCTGACCGCTCCCTAGAGTGGTGGCTCGGATCGAACCGAAGGTCCTGAATGCAGTCAGCGTCAACTGCCTTGCCCTAGTCCTCGTCACTCGAGTCCACCCCTAAGGCTCTCCTCGCGCGCGGGGGAACGTCGCGAGCAACGACGCCATGACCTTGACCCGCTTAGGGTCGTCGAGTGGCGCTACCCTGTGCCCCGCCTGCAACATCGTCCGTGATGACGGACGTCCGCAGTGCATGGCCGTCTAATCCGGCTCCGTACGTGAAGTATACCTGCTCCGCCGTCCTGTCTGTGCCCCCCACAACATCCTCTGCGTCCGTCCAATCGTAGTCTTCATCCTGATCGACTGCCGCAAAACCCTCTTCTACTCCCCGGGATGGGGGAGGAGGCACATGGTCGAAAGGGAGCAGAGTGGCCGCCCTATCCCTGAATACGGCTGAAACATCACATGGACGGCTTGTGTCGTCCTTGCGAAAAACCTCGATCTGCCTCCTGATCTCTCGATCGCTGAAGGTACCAACAGGTCTTGCTTCCCACACCTCAGGCTCGGGGTCACCGTCGTCCTCGTCCTCGTCCTGCTGCCGTCTGTCGCTGTCGACACCATCCATGACCCACGGAAGCACATACCCGCCACCCTGCTGCCTACACGAAGCCAGTTTGAGATTTGTCGTAATCTCAACCAACTGTGTCAGCTTGGCGAAGCCAAGCTTGCTCCACTTTGCCGTCTGAATGCGCTCGTGGGCCGCCCAATTCCCCTCTGCAGGAGAGGCTGGCGTCCACATGTGCATCACACGGTTAGAGATAGCACGTAACTCTGGGTGGGCAGTCCCGTGGGCAAACCACCATGCCGCGCAATGGTGCGTCTCCTGATCGCCCTGACAATCCTCCGCCTCGGCATCTAATACCAGCCGATCACCCCAGTCTCCTATGTGCGCATGGAATCGACGCATCTGGTCACGAACAACGAGGTAATCCCTGCCTATCGGATCACCTCCAGTCTGGGCAAGCAGAAAACGATCACACTTCTGTACAACCTCCGCATCCTCCATGGTGGTGTGGAGGGACTCCTAGTACCTCAAAGACTGTTGACGGCTGTTTAGGAGATGAGCGGCAGCGTGCGCGGGCTCCAACAAGTGCATGAGCCGCATCCTGACCTCTCGCACGCACGGGGTCAGAAGATCAGCCGACACATCGTCCATCTTCGTCAGAAGTTAAATGAGATGACGACTCCACTCGTAGACGATGGACATCATCATTCCTCCTCGGTCCATCCGCCTCAGGAGCTGATGGATGGGCTCCATCACACGGATCAAGAATTCCACAAGTCGCCAGAACTGACCATCTCGAATCTGGAGATGCACCCATCTCGCTTGGGGCAGCAGCCTCCGCTCCCACGGGATACTCGCCCAGGCGTCGTCATGCAACATCGCCTCCAGCGAGTCGCGTTGTAGGGTCAAACCTCGGTAGACTTTCGAGCCTTAGTCGACCCCACTGCGGGTCCAAGTTGGCTCGGCCCGCCCAAACTCATGCTCAGGGCGCGGGCCATTCGTCCCAAGGTCACCCCCACCTAGTGCTTTGAGATGGATGGGGGTGGGCCATCGCGCGAGAGAGCTTCGACATTAGGGATGTAGCTCAGCCCTCACGCCGGGTGGTAGTCTCACTGGTCGTTCCGCAACGCTGATTTTTTTTTTTGATTCTTTATTGTGTTCTCAAGCAATTGCTCCTTCCAATACGCAGGCAGTCTAAGGGTTCTTTGAGCCTTTCTATTCTCTTGTGCGTAGGCTAAGCGTCATCCTTAGGCCACACACCACTCCCTAAGCATTTTGGCTATATGGCGTCATCGGGGTGCGGCGGGGCCGTCCTTCCCCTCGCCTCTACGTATCCATCGGATCTCACAATTTGCTTCCCACCTTATTGAAGTAGGCCCCTTAGTCGTTTCGGGGTCCTCATATGCATGCACAAACAACATCACGTTTTCCTTGATACGATTGCACTCTCAATCACACTTCCAAGTTTTCAAGTGCAAACATCATTTTCATGAATTGACTCTATGTCAAAGGTCCCATAGCCCCTTTGTCCCTCTTCCCTTCCCCTCTCGGTGCCCAGTTCCTCTCGCCATTATCCCACTCAAGGCATTTCTAGCCATTACTCACCTGCACAATCCCACACAAGCAAGAAGATCCATACAATATACCCCATTGCCCCCCATTGGGGGTCAACACATAGCCCTTCCCACATGCCTACTCTTTCCATGCTCTTTGGCTGTGCTTTGTTCCCTCTTTGTTGTTCAATCAGCCCATCCTCTTCTCATAGTCATGCAGTCGGGGAAATGGTTGAGTCAAACTGACCTCTTTCTCAACTTATGCTTATTTCCGGATCCCGCCTTTCTCCCACTTTTTCAAATGTCCTCTCTCTTTTGCCTCCTTGGTGGCACAAGGGACCGACTATCCTCCCCTTGCCCTCTTTCTCCACCAAGTGAAGTCTGATTTCATTTACCATCCGTACCCTCGCAATGTTTCCAAGTGAGGGGAGAAGGATTAGTCATATGCCAAGAGAGAGAGAGAGAGAGAGAGAGAGAGAGAGAGAGAGAGAGAGAGAGAGAGAGAGAGAGAGAGAGAGAGAGAGAGAGAGAGAGAGAGAACCCCTAATCAATTCAGCCCCCCGTAACAGCAACCAAACGTCGACCACCCATCCCATAGCAAGAGATTGAATAAGTATATCTTGGAATCACTTGGCAAGGGTTGGCTAAACCAATGGAAAGCACATATTTATAGGGAAGGAGATCATCAAAACAAGATCCGAAGTATGAACTCGACAATGAGAGGCTACACTAGTGGAAGTACATGCACAAAAGAGAAGAGATCACAAGGTGAAGAACCGGAACACGAACTTGACAACTAGAGGCTAGACTAGTGGAAGCACATGCACAAAGAAGAAGAGTTCAACAAAGTAAACATCCGGAACATGAACTTGACAATTAGAGACTAGCCTAGTGGAAGGCACATGCACAAAGGAGAAGAGTTCAACAAAGTGAAGAACCGGAACATGAACTTGACAATGTAGACTAGACTAGT